ACACACACACACACACACAACAACATATATATATATATATATATATAAATATATATATATATATATATATATATGGACTTGTGAAAACCGATGTGGCCCCTTACAAAAATGAGTGTATCTAGCTGATGAATGGAAGAAGACAGCTTTGTTTTTATATTGAGATACATACACACATGCGTTTGTGTTATACGTATTATATCTATATATGGCATTTATCATCCGATAGCAGTCCATCGTTGTGGTGGCTTCACCATAAGGGCGATTGTGTATAACGGACAATACCAGAAGACACTATTATATTTTGTACGAACTGGTTGTACATTACAATTGAATGAATAAGTTGATCTGTCTATATCTATATGCCTTGGTAAACACATTGGGGTGCACTTATATTACTTGACAACACACGAACCCCTTTAACAGTAACAGCCTAATTCGAGGCTCTAGGTTTTCGAATGCAAGTGCCGCATCAACTAATAAATTGCAAACGACATACTACTTTGTATGATGTGATATCACTGCATATCGCTTACCGAATACTGGTTAGGTACTGACAGTCCTGGCTCATTCAGGTAGTTATACGGCATCTCTCTCTGCGACATAAGACTCTGTCCCGTTGAGAATCCGTGGTTGTTGAAGTGGCCTGAGCCTGCATTCATCTGATTACCGCCCATCTGGTTGCCTTGGATAATTTGACCCGTATTTAAACCGGGCTGAGGGCTATGGCTCTGTAGCATCGTGTTGTTCTGCTGTGGTTGTGGGCTGTGACTTTGTAACATACTGTTATTTTGCAGATTATTATTATTCTGTTGCAAATTAAAGTGCGCTGATTGTGGTAGATCACCTGGCTGTAGTGGTGATGGTCGTGGTGACTGTTGTGGTTGTTGTGGTTGTTGCGGTTGCTGAGGCCCGCCTAAGTAGGGGGACCTTCTTCCGTTCGAATTATCGTGATTCATTTCGAAAATATACTTGTATGTTTTTGACGTATATGTTTCTTATGCTTAGCTTTACGAGAACGTACAGTCACGTGCAGGGTTTTTTGTTCGCCCATATGCAAGATAATATTCATTGATATGCGTGCAGAGGAACAGCCTCGTTCATTCACAGGGCATATGAAGTGATAGTCACTGCAGTCATCACCGTGTGCACTATTTAATTAAATTTGATCAAACGTGGGCTGGGGCCGGCGGTGGTTCATCACTGCATCAGTAAACTAAACCGTTGTCGGTTAAATATAGTCGCTATTGTAAAAAAGCTAAATAAAATCATGGCTTTTATTTCTAAAAATCTCAAATTTAGTCATTGTATAGTGTCCTCTGGTGGTGTATATTTATATAAAGGGCGCCTATTCATATATAAAATACATTAATAGTCTTGTGGCCAGGCTTAAACTCGTGCATATATATATATCTGTCCGTCTATAAATTGAATTCTTTTTTCCCTCGTTCCTTCCTATTGATATCGCGTGAAAGGAATGAGATCGTCGGACGGTCTTGAGAACCACGTCATACCATAGTATGGGTCGACAAAGGTTGCATACATTTGCAAACAGTGCGTGTTTTGTCGTACACCAGCAGCCTTAAGCCTCAATCACTGATTAAAACTCCTCTTTTCGAATATAATCCACGTTATGAAAATAATTTGTTTCTATCGACTGACAAGTGGCTGCGCAGAGAGTATTCATGCAGTTGTGCGGCAGTACTACCACGTGCTGTGGTGTGCTCATAGTTGTACTTTGTGACGCAGGCTATGCAACACCCGAGATGTTGACTATTCCTGTACATGTCCGAACGTGTTTGTATTTAACATATCTCCAAATGGAAGTATATGTTATTGTCAATCATAAAAACTTAGGCTAGCCATATGATTCAACGCAACAATTGTCGATACTATGTTACAAAAAATCGAAGGACATTTGCGTGCTGTTGTGGTGATGGAGAACAAGCATGTGAAAATCTTTGACAAAATATTTATCTGTCGCGTACGTATGTTTCATTTCGGAGGCTGTGTACGACGCAGGTATAAGAGTTTCTTGTGGATATAAAACTTGAATATCCAGGGCGATTCGCAACTAATATATACTGCCATTAATTGAGGCATGAAATTTTGTATGTTTATTTACTTGTTATTCATATATTGTTTAAAATTTATCTAATTTACATAACTGTCGGCTAAGAGTACGTACCGCACCAACATGTAAGCTGTCGCGACGATGAGGGTCAAGATCATGGTGGGGAATCCGTATCTAAACCAATACATAAACGAAATCTCTCGGTTGTCACGTTGTGCAACAGCTGCTGTTACTAGATTGGCAGACGCTCCGATGAGTGTACCATTACCTCCCAGACATGCACCGAAAGCCAAAGCCCAAGCCATGGGTTCAAGTTCCAAATACAGACTTTGGTTGTTCGCCAAGGCCAGTACCACAGGTACCATGGTAGTGGTGAAAGGAATGTTGTCGAGGAATGCACTCACAATACCGGACACCCAAATGAGGATGATTATGGCTACCATCATTTGCTGTTCAGGGGCTGCTGCACCAACGCCCTGGCCAATCATATCACCCATCCAGGTAATCAGTCCCATCTCCGCAAGACCTTCGATCATGATGAACAAGGAGCTGAAGAACACCAAAGCTGTAGGTTGGAGGAAATTGAAGTAGAGTTAGAGACTTGCGCATAGATGAACAACATATGCATAAATACATGTGTCTGTATATATATATAATATATATATATATATATATATATATATATATATATATATATATATATATATATATATATATATATATATATATATATATATATATATATATATATATATATATATATTTACATATATATACATATATAGATATATGTATATATGTATCTATGAAGGTTGACGATGATAGTGTCATGCTAAATATATGTATTGAAATTGGTGGAATAGGCGATCCTTCAGTCACTTTCTAGATTTGCATAATTAAATAGCGGTAATACTATCGAACACATGCTAATAGCCTAATACTATCTATGTACACTGATACTGAGCAACAAGCACGCAGTTGTGCGGAACAACGCGAACAAAATTGATGCTTGCTTATTACACTTGTGCCAATCGCGCGAATAAAAGTATACGTGGTATTGAACATATAAAGTCATAAAGCATTCACCAAGCGACAATCAACTTACTGTCCCATTCGACGTGCTCTAGGGCCGTCTCTGCATCCTCTGGCGAACTGACTAGCAACATGAGAACTGCACCTATCAGAGCAACCCAAGCCACGTCAATGTGATGAACTGGTTCTGTGAAGAAAAGGAGGATTACAACCACGAAAACCATACCCACGCGCATTAACAAGGGCTTGTCATGAACTTGATAGTCCTTTGCGACAGACTCCAAGTCATCAATGGTTGCGTCACCCTTTAGGTCTTTACGGAACAACAGCCATAAGAAGCCGAGTGCAAAGGGGAAGATTATGACTACACCAGGCAACATGTGAAACAGGAAGTCTACAAAGCCGATGTAATCTCCCAACGCTTGCCCAATAATAATATTTGGGGGGTCTCCGATCATAGTAGCAGTACCACCAATGTTGGACATGATACACTCGCAGATCAACATCGGACGTGGGTCTATGCCAAGTAAATTAGCAAGACGGATGGTCACAGGCGCCATCAACAACATGGTTGTAACATTGTCCAAGAAGGCAGATAGGACCCCTGTCACAGTCGCCAGGATCACCATGAGCAGCCACAGCTTATTCCTGCACAACTTGTACGCCTGGATTGCCATCCACTCAAATACTCCGGTCTGTGAGATAACAAACACGATGAGCATCATGCCGAATAGAAGCATCAGTACACCCTGTTCCAACCAGCCGAATGCCTCTTCGACACTTGGGAACTTACCCAGGAACACTAACCACATGAGTGTCACACTCATACCTAGCAAAGACGCTATAGTTCTGTGTGTGATCTCAAACACAATGAGTACATACATAGCCACTAGCGTCACCCCAGCAACCCAAACTTGTTGATTTCCAAACCAGCCAGTCTGGTATACTTTCATGACCATAGGTACGGGCTCTAGGCTGTTGATGTACACTCGTGCAGCAAGTCCCTCCGCATCAGCCTGAGCAGTAAGATCATGATGAACAGACATAGTTATAAGACCATTCTCATCCACAGCAGCCTGTGTGTCTTGTGTGTCTGGTACAACGGACCACACGCCATCATCTAAGCGCACCACCTCAGTCGTCATAGTGAGCATTGTGCCGTTTACTCCGACATGTGACGTATCAGTTGCGCGACGCACACGGTCGGGGTTATTGAGTCTCTCCAATTCTTGGAATAACTGAACAATACCCGCATTTCTCCGTCTGTGACCTCCCCCGGCGTATGTCTCACTTGCTGGCTGTACCTCCCACTCGACTGCAATGTGCCACTCTACGTGGGTCAAAGGATCCATCGCTAGATCATAATCATATGGGTGATCGAAACTCACTGCATGCAATTGCCCAAACTCTCCGTTCTCATGTGTCATAGCCCCGTGTGCCATGAACGTGGTCACCATCCATATCACTAAAACAATGACCATCAAACCACACGTTACCCAATGACCACGGGAAAAGCCTAACCACGCGTCAGTATAGAGCCATCTGTGTAGCATACCATTCTGCTTCGCTAACCTCTCTGCATTCGCAACCATTTCGTCCTCTAAAATGGCCTCTTGTGTCTCTTTATTGTTGTCCATATCTTCGGAGGAAACAGCAACGTCTTCTAGCTCAGTAACACTTGACTTACCCTTATTTTCGTCTTCGATTGACGGTCGATATGAGGAACTTGCACTCATACGCTGACCGTATGAAGGGCGCCCTGTGTAACTCGGTCGCGCAGTATATGACGCACGCCCCTCCATGCTGTACGAAATACGCTTCTCCGCCGTAGTGGAGACACGTCGATTCACGCTGGACGACATAGTGTCAATTTACTAGGCGTTCAATTATGTGCTAGTGTTTGGTTCTCGTACCTTGTTTGGTTTTTAATAATGTGCAATGTCCTTTCCAGTGTATTTATATGCGTATGGCACGCGGATATAGGACTGTGAACACCAATGTCTTCCTCGTTATTATTTACAGGTCTTCCTCATTATTACAAAGAAGTACGATACAAACATCCCTCTTACAAAAGAGCAAAATCACCTGCTGTATTAGCTGTAAATACTCTAGTAGAGATACATATTCACTGACAAAATTGTTGTTTTTTACTTCTGGATATTTCATTCTTCGAAAGTAGGAATAAGGAAAGTGGAAACTCTCTGTTGCTTATGAATTGTGTTTGCCATTGGTCGAGTGCTATACTCCTACTCTTGTTTTAGAAAAAAATCCGGGTCGAACTCACTCGAAGTCTCGAAGTCTCGAACTGTCGAACACGGAACACGCGCAAGAAGTTTTTAAAAACAAAAAAAAGTTGTGGGCAAAAAATACCAAATAGCGGAGGCCGGAGGGGTCAGAACTCAGAATCCAAAGAATTCCAGAAGAGAGCAAAAAGGAAATGTTTCTCCTCTTTCTATTGGGATAATTAATTTCCAAATAAGGGCATTTTGGCACTAGGCCGTAGTGTGGTGACTGGAGCCCTTAGTTCACTGGCGTTGTTCCGATTCGGTTTACTAATTTAGCCCATAAATAAATACATAGGGTGTTGATCAGTGTCAGACTGTCAGAGTCTCAGACTCACAGACGCACAGTGATGAATTGCTGATTGATGGACTGAGGCTCATGGACTCATGAGTCATGGGCTCATCGCTGTAGGGAGTATGCAATATTTATTTATGTATAATGTATGTAAAAAATAAATTCTGACTACATATGTAGTACATACTGGTAGTGACTAGTGAGTAAATAATTTTTAAAAAGAAAAGAAAAAATATGATCAGTGATCCTTGATAAATACAGTAAATAAATAAATATAGGAGAGTGTAATTTACATGATGTTTTTTTTAATTTAAATTTTTCGAAATACCCTGGGGACCTGGCTGGGCCTTGAGACTCTGAGGCTGAGCCCTGAATTAGAATACGTCCTTAATCCTAATCCTTGACTCCTAGTCTCCTGGTGTGAGTCCTGGACCTGAACCCTACCCCATGACTCCATGAGGCATAAGGCAAGAGGCCTGCCGCCTGAGTCCTGAGAGGATGAAACCCCTGCAGGGCAGCAAGAGTTATTAAAACCCCTGTTACGATAAACTAAATAGTTAAAGTTTTTAACATATACCGATAGTAAATATTTATGTAAATATTTACCTGTGTACAATGTACATATTTACTTACAGCTTACATACGTTGTCCTACGGACTTGTTCGTTCTCCCATAATTTCTACTTTTTCAGAGAGATGGTCATGAATTCATGATACGTTTGAATTTTATTTTATTTTTAAAAATGTAGTTAAACGCTTCATACTAAAACAGTGGGCTAAATAACTTGTTTCTTCTTTCTGGGGCTTCTGGGGTTTGTATCTGAGAAGTGATGTCTCACCTGATCCTTGTAGTCCTTACATATTCGGCCGGGGTCTCATTTTTGGTTTTTGGTCCGGCTTGTAAGACTGGGTCTTATGTTTGGACTATTTCTAAAAAAACCCCCCAGAAGACTTGTCCGGCACTTTTAGAGTTATTAAGAACATTCTGTTTTTCATCGTATAAATAACTCCTTATTTATACTGAGACAGTGGGTTGTTCTTTGTTTTTTTTAAACGTTTTATACTGAGAGAGTGGGAAACAGGAAAAGTGGAAACAACCCAACCCGCTATTATGCCGATGTTCGGTCATGGAAAGGAAAGTGCCAGTTTTCAGTTCAAGCTTCAAAAAGCCTTTTCTCATACTTGAGAGAGTAGAGTGCACGACTGTTCAGGCCGTGCTCACTGCAGTCTAAACATGTTTAAAATCTTCCAGAAGGTGACGTTTGTACTTTGTACGAAATCATCCACCTCATTATCCTAAAACATGATTTTTTTATATTAACTTACAAACCTGCGTTATCTGCCACATTCCCTAAAAGTCTATGTAGAAGGCTATTTATGTTCTGTGTTAATGATTAGTTTCGGTGAGACACAACCGAACCTTCTTCCTTTCGGCTGCTGTTTTCGAAAATCATATCAGACCCCCAGACATTCGACTGGAGAGGTAAATTTCGCTACACACACAGTACACGTCATCAAACAGTGTTCGACTACGAGCGCCATGAAAGCGACTCATGGTGATATAGATGTGGCTGCAGTACGCCGAGATACAAAGGGCTGCTCTACTACAGTCCAGACAAATGAAGGGAGGAAAAAAATAACGGAAGAAATGGGCAGGGCAGGGGCAGGGCAGGGGGAGCAAATATCAAAGCCCATGGTCTTCTTCAATAATGCTGGCTCATCTCTACCACCGGATGTTGTGAGTAAGAGAATGATTAAGCATCTCCAAAGGGAAGCAGAAATTGGTATGGTTTTGATGTCATTGAAAATTTATCTCATTAGACCATCCATTATATATATATATATATATATGTGTGTGTGTGTGTGTGTATATATATATATATATATATATATATATATATATATTTGTTTTTNTGTTGTGTGTTNTATATATTATTATTATATATAGTNTATATATATATATA